TGGGATATGCGGCGGAGCAACTCGCCCGGCGCCAGATGGTCGCAAGCCGCGCGCGCGGGCGTAAGGCGGCAGCGAACGGGCTGGCGCGGCCGCGACCGCAGCCGGCACAACTGCAGATCGCGCGCACAAGCTGCAAACCGCGACAGGGTCGCAGATTCAGCTCGGCCCGACGGCCCCACGCACCTCTCAGGGAAGTGGCGACGGGCCGAGCTTCAGCTTGTCCCAAGACACATGCTTTCTGCGATCGTCAATGCCATCGTCAGGGATCCCCCCCATGCTCCCCGCCCCCTTCTCCCCATATGGCCACTTCTTCCCCCGTGGTGATGATCCGCCCGACATAACAAAAGCCGCTGTGCACAATGACAACCACATTACGTATGCCACAATAGCACAAAACCGCGAATGTTAACATAGCTTCTGTTTCAGAAGAAGCATATGCTGCCTGCTGTGTGAACGCACCCTGTCAGATATGCAAAACAGTTGTCAATGACATCGGACCAACACTGACGACCCGTTGCGCGCCTGCATCATCATGCACGCGGGCTGGAATAATTCACTGTCGAAGCTGTGATATTGTTCAGCGGTTCGGAGCCACAAATATGCCAGACATCGAAATGCGATGCTGATCGACATTCTGGACACCAGCATGACACCATTTAACTCATTGCGCATGTACACAAGCTCGTTTAAGAGTGGCACTGCGTAGAAATAACATGTGGTCGAACCAGGGGTCGCACTTTGTTTCTTTGAAACAATACAAACCACATGGTCGTATCGATAACAAGTGTTAAAAATGTATGCGCGACGGCAGACAAACGAATCCGATACCGCAGCCCGAAGGAAACAGACGGAATGTGATAAAACATCATCGCTTCACATTACAAAGCTAGTGGTGATGCACCAGCATAAAGCAATGCACACTATCGTGAACGTATGTTCGAAAATGTTACATGCGTAAGGATAGCTACATCAAGTTATTATCGGATAGCTTGACCAGTGGTGGAATTGAACGCGTTAGGCGTCAGAGCGTGGAGTGTAGTAGTACCCTTAACATACTACCCTGGTGTGCACGAAACTCTTAGCTCGACATCGCTTGCCGTTAACAGCAAATGGGCAGCACGTGGCTGAATTACCTCACTGTGTATATCCTTTTTTACATGTTGCCCCAGCGTGGGTATAACCAGTCGATTGTGGTTTACATCGGCTTAGCAAACGAGCAAATCACGTTGAACCGCCTGTTCAAGTGACTGGAAGTCAAAGATCGGCAAGGGGGGAAGGACCGAGGATCGGGGACGCTGCTCCTGGAGTCCCCGGTGTGCCACCATCGGGGGGTGTGGCCACCACGGCCTCCAGGAGGTCGAGGACCGAAGAGCGGGGAGGGCCAAAGACCGAAGAGGTGTCCTCCCCCTGGCTCATCCCCGCTCTCTCTTCCCTGGTCCTTGAGCACGCGCGGTCTAGTTATTCGGTCCAATGTGGTCATTTCAGTGTCGGCCCGATCGGAAATTGAACTTTGCTGTGGGATGCTGGGGGCGTGCAAGACAGGGGCGACCTTGGGAGCCCTGCGGGGGTTCCGGCGAGCCCGTGTCCTGGAAGGGGTGGCTGTCCCCCTCCGTGGTGACCCCTCTCGGACACTGAATGCGCCCCCCCTCGGGCATGGCCCGCGGGACGCGCGGGCGACGGGGGGGGAACCAAGGGACTACCATTGAAAGCAGAGGAGGGGGTCGTGAGATCCGGGAAGGCCCCCCCCCCTGGGGCTCACCCGCCCCCACCTCTTCCTCCTCCTCCTCCTCCTCCTCCTCCTCCTCCTCCTCAGCAGCAGCAGCAACAGCAGCAGCAGCTTCATCATCATCCTCATCATCCTCTTCATCCTCTTCATCCTCCTCATCCTCCTCCTCCTCCTCATCATCATCCTCATCCTCATCCTCATCCTCATCCTCATCCTCATCCTCATCCTCCTCCTCCTCCTCCTCCTCCTCCTCCTCTTCCTCCTCCTTTCCTCCTCCTCTCCTCCTCCCCTCCTCCTCACATACAATCATCACATCATCATCATCATCATCATCCTAACATGATCATCAAGCATCAGCATCAGCATCATCAACACATCACATCATCATCATCATCATCATCATCATCATCATCATCATCATCATCATCATCGTCATCGTCATCGTCATCGTCATCATCATCATCAGCATCACCACCACCACCACCACCAGTTCCATCATCATCATCATCATCAGCATCAGCATCATCACCATCATCATCATCATCAGCAGCAGCACCACCACCACCACCATCATCATCATCATCATCATCGTCATCATCATCATGTTCATGATCATCCGCCCTCCTCCTCTCTACCTCCATCTCGTCCTCCACCTCTGCCTCATCCTCCACCCCCTCCTACTCCTCTTAGTCCTCCCCCTCCTCCTCCTCCCTCCCCTCCTCCTCCTTGTCCTCCACCTCCTCCCTACTCCTCCTCCTCCTCTCCTCATCCTCCTCCCCCCTTCTTCTCCTCTACTCCACGCTCCCTCCCTTCCTACCCTCCTCCTCCTCCTCCTCCTCCTCCTCCTCCTCCTCCTTTTCCTCCTTTTCCTCCTTTTTCCCTTATCCTCCTTTGCCTCCTTTTCCTCCTTTTCCCCTTTTCCTCCTTTTCCCTCCTCCACCTAACTCACCTCCTCCTCACCACTTCCTTCCCTCCTCCTCCTCCTCCACTCCTCCTTTCCCTCCATTTCCCCTCCTTTTCCACCATCCTCCTCCTCCTCCTCCTCCTCCTCCTCCTCCTCCTCCTCCTCCTCCTCCTCCTCCTCCTCCTCCTCCTCCTTGGGGCGGGACCCGCCGAGACCCCGCCCCCCTGAACCCCCTCTGCTCGGCCCGCGGCTGCCGCGGATATGCGTGCGCTGCGCCCACCGCCGTGCGGCGCGGAGGCACCCGGTCCAGAGGCCCCCGCGAAAGGGCCCCCCGAGGCCGAGCCCGAGAGGGGCCCCCCAGACCTCCTCCTCCTCCCCCCCTCCTCCCCCCCCTCCTCCCCCCCTCCTCCTCCCCCCTCCTCCCCCCTCCTCCCCCCCCCTCCCCCCCTCCTCCCCCCCCCTCCCTTGACCTTCCAGGAGGTCTAAAACATAGCACCAGGACGTCGACGTCCTAATTCCTGTCGAGGTTTGCGGCAGTCCAGATAGATCTAGGTCTGGAGTGTTACTTGTTAGCGCTCTGGAAGGTCAGGGGAAGAGCCCCCGAGGCCGAGTCCGAGAGGGGCCCCCGGGAAGCGCACCACCCGCAAAGAGGCCCCCTCTGGAGGCCCTCCGAGAGCCCCCGAGGCCGAGCCCGAGAGGGGCCCCCAGGCAGCACCACGGCACGAGGTCTCCTCGGAGGCCCTCCGAGAGCTGTCGATGCTGGGTCCGAAAGAGTAGAGGCCTCTTAGATGGGGTCCGAGTAGAAGGGGTCGGAGGATCTCGCCGCATCGCCGATGCGTCGGCGATGCGTCGCCGATGCATCGTCGATGCATCGCCCGATGCACTGGCGACGTCGGCGATGCATCGGCGACGTCGGCGTGGAGAAGATCGGGCCCCACCTCGAGCCGCATCGCCGATGCGTCGCCGATGCCTCGTCGACGCGGCACGATCCTCCGACTCCGTCTGCTCCGACCCCATCTGGGAGGCCCAGAGGGAGTGGGGCGGCAGTCGGCCCGCCCCCCTCTCGGAGCCCCCCATCGGGAAGCCTCCTGCGGCCCCCGGAGTGGCGCCACCGAGGGGCCCGAGAGGCCCCCGATCCCCCGCCCGGGCACGGACGGCAGCAGGCCTGGCAAAGGGCAGCCAGAGCAACCACCAGAGCGATGACGAACGAACAACACACACACACACACCCATACCCATAGGGAGGTCATTGGGAGGAGGACTGGCTATGGGTATGGGTGCGGGTTGTCGGACCCTGGGGAACGCTCCCGTTCGAGCGGGGACCCCCACCCGACAACACGCACCCCTGGCCCTCTCCGATCCCCCTATGGGTATGGGTGTGTGTTGTTGGTTCGTCAAGTGAGTGGCAGAGCAGAAGCGGCCATCCCGCACGCCGCATGGCAGTGCGCGAGCAAACGTGTGCCAGCTACGGCGGGGGCGGGATGGGCCCGCGCTCGGCCTCCGCCCTGCCCGATCCGCGGGAGCGCCCAATGGCACCGGCCCACGAGATCGAGAGCACGGCGACGACGAGGACACGAGAACACTGAGGGGGCAACGCACAGGGGCGGGGCTCACATGCCCTCCCGTGCGGCACGGGCGTGCCCAATTAGGCAGGTCGGCAAGCGCGCCCGACGGCCGTGCAGGATGCCCCCCTGCCGCCTCGCCCCAGACACAAAAGGCAGAGCGGTCGCGCGAGTCCGTGCCGCGCCGGCACGCGTGGGGCAGCTGTCCCTCCCCCCCGCCGTTCTTCCCTTCCCCCCCTGTCTTCTCCCTCGTTCTCTCTCTCTCGCCCCCTTCCTCCCCCCCCTCTTCTCCCTTCCCTCCCGCACCCTGGAGAGAAGAAAAGGCAGCACGAGCAGAAACGTTCCGAGGTTCGCGCGGATCTCTCGGATCGGCGCTGGGCCCCCTCCACAAGCGGCGAGGCAAGCGCCGCCAGGGAGGGGCCCAGCGCCGATCCGAGAAATCCGCGCAGAGCTCCGAAAATCCATGCTTCTGCTGTTCCTCGTCGACTCCTGGAATCTCCTCCCCCCCCTCTCCCCACTCCTCCACCCACTCTCTCTCCCCCTCTCCCTCTCGCCCCCCCCTCCCTCCCCACTCTCGCCCTCGACCTCCCTCTCTCGCACATCCCTCCCTCTCCCCCCCCCTCTCCCCACTCTCTCTCTCTCTCTCTCTCTCTCTCTCCCTTTCTCTTCTCTCTTGCTCTCGCCCTTCCCTCACTGCTCTCCTCCTCTCCCTCTCTCTCTCCCTCTCCCTCCCCTCCCTCCCTCCTCCATCCCTCCCTCCCTCCCTCCACACTCTCCCTCTCCCTCCCCGCTCTCTCCCTCCCTCCCTCCCCGCTCCCCCGCCGCCCGACGGCCGCTCGGCCGCTCGGCGTGACGGCACCCGGGGCGCAGGGCGCCGGCCTCGCCCCGTCAGCAAGGGGCGGGCCGCCGTCGGCGCTCCGTGGCTCAGTGCGAGCCGACCTGGGGCGGGTGCCCGTCCTTCTGCGCGCCTCCCTCCTCGCTCCGCCCGCTCCTCCGACTCCTCCTCCTGCCCCTGCCCCGCCTGCTCCTCCTGCTTCCTGCTCCTGCTCCTGCTCCTGCTCCTGCTCCTGCTCCTCCTCCTCCTCCTCCTCCTCCTCCTCCTCCTCCGCCTCCTCCTCCGCTTCCTCCTCCTCCTCTCTCCTAGCCGTTCTGGCTCGGGCGTCCTGCCGGTGCTTTGTGAGTGCGAGCGAGCATCAGAGCGGCGCGCTGCAGTTGCGGGCCATTCGCTGAGATCTCGCTCACCACGTCTCCGCCGTGGGATATCCGTGGGCGGACAAGTTGCCTCCAATCACAATGACAGTGCCTGGTGGCGCACACAGTGTATGGCACTGTGGTCGCAGGATTCTGGCTCTCATGGCTCTTGGGCTGTCGTGAAGCGTCTCAGCTTCTGCCTTCCCCTGGCCCTCTCTGAGGTGGTGGAGATAGAGGCGGCAGTGGCACAGCTTGGCAGGACTGGTCAAGCTCATAACTGACGGCCTCTCGTCAGAGGAGCTCGACTGTCTGATCGCCATGGCCACCAAGCAGGGCCAGCACGACCTCGTCAAGGAATACAAGAAGGAGAAGTCTGCGGTGGAGGCCATGACTCGCCCCAAGTCGGACGTCAGCCTCCACGCGCGAGCCTCCTAAGCCCAGTCCAAGATCAAGCAGGTGGAGAAACGGATCTCATGCGAACCAGACAAGCTCGACAAATGAAAACAAACCACTCGGCCATCGGAAACACACATCACGGCTCTTGGTGACGAGCACGACATTCACAGGGCCACCTACCGCGAGCTGGTCAGGCAGATGAGCGACGAAGTGCAGGACATCGACAAGCATGACGAGGTGCCCAAGTCCTTCAGCCTTCAAGCCCTGGTCGAGGGTGGCGACGACATCGAATTCGCTCTTGATAATGATCTGTTCACGGACCTGAACCAGTACAACCTATCCCCTCAGGACACGGAGCAGTTAAAAGCGAAGAAATCCTCCAGTCTGGTGTGCGAGACCTCGCCGAGCAGTTGTTCAGTGAGACCTCCTCGTCCCTCGAGGCCGCGCGAAAGGATCACTGGAACCACTTGGCTTGTCTGCCAGGAAGACAGACCAGGGCGCCGCGCGTGAAAGTGCCCCTGATGCGTCACAGACATCTGAGGGTGCTTCGCCTGTTGAGGCTCGGCAGCGAGCGAGGGGGGGCAATGAAGGTTCGGAAGTCCCCCGGCCTTCCGAGAAGGTTTCTAAGCCGTCCCCGAGGACACACACAAGCTTATCAGAAGGAGCGAGGGCTTCTGAGAAGTCCCGCTGCCTTCTTGAGAAGACCTTCTCCTTCTCATTGCCCCCCCCTCGCTCGCCGCCGATTTTCGGTGCCCCCCCCCGCCTGCAGCGTGCGGGGGACGCGCATTCTTTCAGCCGCGGCGTGCCCCCAGTTCTTGACTACTTGCCAGACCAGCCCGAATTGCGGGTTGGGGGGGGGGGTGCGGGATCCATGCGTGTTTTTCTCACTGTTCCCCGACTCGGGCGTTGGCAGAAGTGGGTTTAGTGTGACCTGGTTTAATGATGCGTACTGAGGGACGCCCCCCGCCCCGTTCCACTAACCGGAACTGCCGTCACCCGAAAGAACACCAGCTACGGCAGACCTGGTTTCGTGATCCTGGCCAATTTAAGGGCTCCAAGGCCCTACCACTAACCGGGTCCCCTTACCTGGGGTCTTGGCTGTACCCGACCGACCCCCCCACACTGGAAATGGAGGGCAAAATTGAGGCCTTCGGGTTGGGCTGGGGTGGTTTGGTGGGTGGTGAGTCTTCAATCCGCAGGAGGCCAGCCCGTGCAGCACCTCCCTGTAGCGCCGCGCCCAGGCAGATTCCACGGTCAACAATCCGTTTCGCTTTTTGGCCGACCTGCCCCAGGAGGAGGAGGAGGAGGAGGAGGAGGAGGAGGAGGAGGAGGAGTGACTGGAGATGGGGGTCTTTCCCCGTGAGCAGCTGGCACTCGCTGTCACAGCGGTCCGCTGTAACAGCTGGGGTGCCTTCAGGCATCGGGCCGGTCAAGGCGAGACGTCCCACGTCACCCTGCTTCAAAAGCATCACCTGTGTCGGGGCGATGCCGTCCAGAAGGCGATCAAAGACTGTCTCATGTCTGGTTGCTCATGACTGATTGTAAATCGAACTGACAGCCCGCCATTCAGAAGCCAGAGGGGGCCACGTCTGTTTCTGTGGCCGTTTTGGCCACAAATTTTCCCAGACTTCATGCATCAGCTGGTGGTACGGAAACAACTATCTTCACTTACCTGGTGGTGTTCCCACCACCGCTGTTTGTACGACACGGAGGGCATGACTGCCCGCCAGATCGCCATCCTGAAAGATGCAGGTGCCAACATGTCTCTGTCGGCAGGCTCTTTCATCTTAGGGGGGCAACTTCAATCTCGATCAAGAAGTTATCCATGACTCAGGCCTTGTGGAGCACCGAAGGGGGATCCGGCGTCGTCTGGTGCGGCTACGTGTTTCGGAAGGATAACAAGGGATCGCCTTGTGATTTCTGGAGCTCCAGCTCAAGGGAATAGGCCCATCTACCAGTGCCCCAACGGCTTCTTCAGTCCTCACGCAGCTATCTCGATGGATTCCCAAGTTCAGGTTGCCAGGTTACAGGCGTTGGGGCTCGGAGGGCCCTCTCTAGAAGAAGAAAAAGCTGCATAAAGAGAAACTTGTGGCGCTCCGCGCAAATCTTCCTTGAATCTGCGCTCCACGCGCCAGGGGTGGCGCTCCGAGGCGCCGCCGGGGGGCCCGGCGCGTCTCCCTGTGGCTCCCCTTCCTGGACCTCCTCCACGGCCCGAGGACGTCTGCGAGGGTGATGAGCTGATGTTCGGGGATGAACAGAACCCCCTTTGGTAAAACGCGGTTCAGTGAAAACGGCCTCGGGCCCAAACCTGGCGGGCGCAAGCCTGGAAAACGACGGCCGCGGCGCCCTCTCGAGAACCGAAAGCGGACAATTCACTAAAAGACGTGTCAGGATGCGGGTTCTGCCCACCCGCGAGATGTCCCTTGGCCCTCTGCGAGCACGCCCTTTGCCGCAAGCAACGCCGGCCGCCCCCGCCGCCCTTGTTGGCACCAGGCACTCGCAAGCAGTGGGCCAACGGGCCTTCGGCTGTGAAGCTCAGGAGGATGAGGACGAGGAGGGAAAAGGACGAGGACGATGAGGTCGCGGAAGATAGGGGAACGAACAATGACATCAACATAAAAACTCGGAGGTCAGCGCGGACTCCTCGGATCCGCGCTGACCCCCCTGGCGTCGCCTCCGGCGCCGCCCCTGGCGCGCTCTGCCAGACAGGGAGGGGGGTCCAGCGCCGATCCGAGACATCCGCACGGACCTCCGAGTTGTTATGCTTATGCCACTGTTTGCTCCCCTAGAAGAGGAGGAAGAGGAATACGAGAAGAAGCTGCTGCGGAGCGACCTGAGGTCGGATGAGGAGGAGGAGGAGGAGGAAAGAGCGGAGGAGGAGGGGGAGGAGGAGGAAGGGCAGGGGCAGGGGCAGGGGCAGGGGGAGGAGGAGGAGAGGGAGGATGAGGAGGAGGAGGAGCAGGAGGAGAGGAGGAGGTGAGGGAGGGAGGAGGAGGAGGAGGAGGAGGGGCAGGAGGGGCGCTCGAGGCAACTAGAAGATGCCCTCGGAGCCGGAGAGACCCTCGTCCTCCGCATCCTCGGGGGGCCTCCTCGCGGCCACGAGGAGGAACAGGAAGAGTAGGAGGAGGACGAGGAGGAGGAGGAGGAGGAGGAGGACGAGGAGGACGAGGAGGAGGAGGAGGAGGAGGACGAGGAGGACAAGGAGGAGGAAGAGGAGGAACTTCAGGCTGTCTTTGGCAGCGGAGCTTCCGCGCCTGTTGCGCGAAGGGCCAAAACCCGGAAATCGCGCGGCGCTCCGTTCCCACGAAAGGCGCCAAAGACATCCGCTACCCCCAGCTGCACGCATTTACGGTCGGTTCGTGCGGCATCGGCGCGCGCCAAGGCTTTTTGACCCCACGTCGATCGTTCAATCTTGAATCGATCGCGGCCCCGATCGTTCAAAATTGAATTCCGTCGGGTCCAATGGCACCACCGTGTCCCTCGGCGCTTCCGCGTCGAAGAGCTGAACCTTGAACGCCTTCGCCCGCGTCGCCAGCGCGCGAACGCCGCATGAACCTACCGTAAGGTGACATCCCTCTTCGAGGCGGTGATCGTCCTCGCCGGGTCTCTGGATTCTGTGTCGGGCATCAGTGACGGGGCTGTGGATTTGGCCAGGTCTCTCGTGTCTGCTCAAGGCCTCCGATTGCGTCTGCACTCGTCTGGGGGAGCTCAACGGGCACCTCGTCTGCATTCAGGTTGCTCTCAGAGACTGGTCCGAGGAGGCCGTGCTTCCTGAGCGTGGAGGAGTTGGAAGCCCTCTACGAGGCCCAGAAGGCCCTTCCCTCGGAATCTATTCAATACCATGAAAAGCTCGCTCGCTAGACAGGAGTGGCATTCTTGCTTGACGAAGAAGCTCAACCAGGGTGCCAAGAACGCACCCACTGCCAGCACATATCCCTTCACCTGGACCCCTTTTCTACCACCCTCTCCTCGGAAGGGGGCGGTGGCTTCGGGCCCCAGGGTTTGCTTGAACAGGATGCCCAGAAAGGTTCTGCAGGCTTTTGAGAGTGAGGGCCTCGGCACCAGAGATCGCGATTCACTCTGACCCCCCGCTCCCAGCCATTTCAATTCAGGGCCTGCGGTCTCCCAATAGGACCCATCCCGAGAGGAGCGCGGCCCCCATCCATGGGTTCCATATCACCCGCTACCAGTATTTGAGCGATGAGAGTTTTGGCGTGCTGGCCACAATCTTCGACACCATGGAACGTCCTGGAGCTCTCCCGTCTCAAATCCGCGCTGTGCTCATGTCTCATCACCGAGAAGAGTAAAGGCTGCCGACCGATAGGCGCTTTCCCATCACTCTGCCGCATTCG